AGAGGAGTCCAAGACCTGGGTTGGCCGCAAAAGCGTGGAGGAGGCAGTGCCTCTAAAGCAAGAGGGGTTTGGGCTTCAGGGAAAAGAGGGAAAGCATTTGAGGCCGGTCACCCGCCAGAGGCCTCTTCACGAGGCCCCGGGGAGCCCTCAGGGATGCTGAGCACGGGAGGGCTTTGGAAGGTGTCCTGGGACACTTACGCAGGCTCCAGACTGATCCTCCCATCCCGGACTCAGATCAAGAAGGGGAACCGGGAATGTGAGCGGATCCTGCACGACGTGGAGCTGCTCAGCAGCCTGGCCCTGGCCCGCAGTGCCCAGTTCCTATACCCAGCAGCCCAGCTGCAGCACCTCTGGAGGTCAGCCCGGGTCTGCCCCTGCCGCCCGCCTGACGGCTCATTGCGGACACCTCCGTGGCTGCCCCTCCCACCCTTTCCATCCCTGCCCTTGGCCCCTACAGGCTCCTGCTTCTGAACCAGTTCCACGATGTGGTGACCGGAAGCTGCATCCAGATGGTGGCAGAGGATGCCCTGCGCCACTATGAAGGTTGGGTTCACAATAGTCCCGCCCGCTCTCTCCAACCGTAGGGCTGAGCCTGGAGTGTCTCGCCTGTGGGATACTCATGGGCCCATTCCAGACCTGTTGCCCACCCATGACCAGCCAGCCTCTCCTCAGACATCCGTTCCCATGGCAATACGCTGCTCAGCAACGCGGCCGCAGCCCTGTGTGCCGGGGAGCCAGGTCCCGAGGGCCTCCTCATCGCCAACACCCTGCCCTGGACGCGCACCGAAGTAATGGCCCTGCCCAAGCCGGGTGGAGCCCACAGCCTAGGTACGAGCTGGGGGGAAGGGGTGCTGCTGCGGCAGGGAGGGTGGAGGCCAGACGGGTCAGGCCTGGGATAGCCCTGGGGGTCTGTGCCCTGGGTGCCCCAGATTGGGGAGTAGCAGCACATCCCCCACCACCCCACCCCCGCCTATGCAAGCTTCCTGGAAGGTCAGGGAGGCTGCACTGATGCCCAGGCCTCACCCCTAGCTCTGGTGACAGTGCCCAGCATGGGCTATGCTCCTGTTCCCGCCCCCACTTCGCTGCAGCCCCTGCTGCCCCAGCAGCCTGTGTTCGTAGTGCAGGAGGTGAGTCCTGCCTGCCCTGGGGGTAGGAGCGGTGCTTTCTAACCCAACCCGGGTCCTGACTTCCTCTGCCTGGAGCAAGGGGTGAGGCGGGGCTGGGGCTGGGCTGGGAGGACTTTGGCGTGGGAAGCCCCTGCAAACTCAGCCTCAAGGCCTCCTCCCACAAAGACTGATGGCTCCGTGACTCTGGACAATGGCATCATCCGAGTGAAGCTGGATCCGACTGGCCGCCTGACGTCCTTGGTCCTGGTGGCCTCTGGCAGGTGCCAACTCCTCACTGCCCTTTCCCAGTGCCCGGCAAATAGATCCCAGCCTGCTTCCTCTCTCCCATGGCCACAGCACTGCCCACAGCAACCCACCAGTGGGTCCGGGCTGGAGCCCACACCTGGGGCAGGGCAGGCTGGGCGGTAGTCCCCTGTCAGCTGGGACTGCTCACTCCACCCTTCCCCACCAAACGCAGCTGGAGGGAACGAAGTCAGATGGTTGTAGGCACCAATCCCATGTTCTTCCAGGGAGGCCATTGCTGAGGGTGCCGCGGGGAACCAGTTCGTGCTGTTCGATGATGTCCCCTTGTACTGGGATGCGTGGGACGTCATGGACTACCACCTGGAGACACGGTACGGGCCGGGCAGCACGTGGGGAGGGTGGAGGTGGTGGAAACACAGGCTGCTCTGGCTCAGTGTGTCCACTCCTCCCATAGGAAGCCTGTGCTGGGCCAGCCGGGGACCCTGGCAGTGGGCACCGAGGGCGGCCTGCGGGGCAGCGCCTGGTTCTTGCTGCAGATCAGCCCCAATAGTCGGCTTAGCCAGGAGGTCGTGCTGGACGTTGGCTGCCCCTATGTCCGTTTCCACACTGAGGTAGCAAGGGGGTCAGGGGGTGGCTGTTTTCCCCAAGCATGCTTGGTAAGGAGGGGGCAGCCCCAGGCCAGGGCCTTACTCCCCCCGCTCCATCCCGCTCCAAGGTGCACTGGCATGAGGCCCACAAGTTTCTGAAGGTGGAGTTCCCGGCTCGTGTGCGGAGTTCCCAGGCCACCTATGAGATCCAGTTCGGGCACCTGCAGCGGCCCACCCACTACAACACCTCTTGGGACTGGGCTCGATTTGAGGTCTGACGTGGCAGGGTGGGGGTGGCCTTGGACTCCTCCCTGGCTGGGGAGACTGGTCGTTTTGTACGGGCTGAGGAGGAAGAGGATAATCAACATTTGCTGCTTCCGAACATGTGCATTGTACTGAACACTTGACATTGGCCGGGCGCAGTAGCTCATGCCTGTAATGCCAAGGGAGGCCACGGCAGGCAGATCACCTGAGGTCGGGAGTTCAAGACCAGCCTAGCCAACATGGAGAAACCCTGTCCCTATTAAAAACACAAAAATTAGGCCGGGCGCGGTGGCTCAAACCTGTAATCCCAGCACTTTGGGAGGCCGAGGCGGGTGGATCACGAGGTCAAGAGATCGAGACCATCCTGGTCAACATGGTGAAACCCCGTCTCTACTAAAAATACAAAAAACTAGCTGGGCATGGTGGCGCGTGCCTGTAATCCCAGCTACTCGGGAGGCTGAGGCAGGAGAATTGCCTGAACCCAGGAGTCGGAGGTTGCGGTGAGCCGAGATCGCGCCATTGCACTCCAGCCTGGGTAACAAGAGCGAAACTCTGTCTCAAAAACAAAAAAAAACAAAAACAAAACAAAAAACACAAAAATTAGCCGGGTATGGTGGCACATGCCTGTTATCCCAGCTACTTGGGAGGCTGAGGCAGGAGAATCACTTGAACCCGGGAGGCAGAGGTTGCAGTGAGCAGAGATCATACCACTGCACTCCAGCCTGGGCAACAGACTTGAGACTGTCTCAAAAAAAAAAAAAAAAATCCCAAAAAACTTAACATTTCATTTGATACAATCATTTGGTGGAGTGAGTACTATTATTTATTCCTGTTTCTCAGATAAGGAAACTGAGGCTTAGGCAGGTAGGGTGACATGCCCAGGGCCCCCTAGAGTGGGAGCTGGAGTTGGGTTGTGTGGTTCTAGAGCGTGCGCCCCAAGTGACGGGAGCTCTGGGAGTCTGGACACAGGGCCAGCACGTGTGTCGGGTCTGCCCTCAGGTGTGGGCCCACCGCTGGATGGATCTGTCAGAGCACGGCTTCGGGCTGGCCCTGCTCAACGACTGCAAGTACGGTGCCTCCGTGCGAGGCAGCACCCTCAGCCTCTCCCTGTGAGTGGGGTACCTACCAGGCCTGGGAGCTGGCAGGGGGACATGGGTCTTCCCGGCCGAAATTCCACCGGCTTCAGCCTGACCCCTGCCCGCCCTCCTCACCCCAGCTTGCGGGCACCTAAAGCCCCAGACGCTACCGCTGACATGGGGCGCCACGAGTTCACCTACGCGCTGATGCCGCACAAGGGTGAGTGCTGGGGACGGCGGGGCCTTCCTGCAGCCCGAGACACCTCTCTGCCCTTCTCTGCGCACAAACCCCAGCAGCCTGGCTCCCTGCCCTCCTAGGGATGTGGGAGGGAAACCCCGATGCTCCACCAGCATCGCTTTCTGGTTGTATCCCAGGCTCTTTCCAGGATGCTGGCGTTATTCAGGCTGCCTACAGCCTCAGCTTCCCCCTGTTGGCTCTGCCGGCCCCGGGCCCAGCTCCCGCCACCTCCTGGAGTGCCTTTTCCCTGTCTTCACCCGCTGTCGTATTGGAGACGGTCAAGCAGGCAAGGGGTGGGATGTGTGGGGGGCGAGGTCCTGGACTGGGCGCCCCTCAGCCTCGCCCAACAGCCGCGTCCCTTTGCAGGCCGAGAGCAGTCCGCAGAGCCGCTCACTGGTCCTGAGGTTGTACGAATCCCACGGTAGCCACGTGGACTGCTGGCTGCACCTGTCGCTGCCGGTTCAGGAGGCCGTCCTGTAAGTGGCGCTGCGAGGGGTGCTGGCGGGGGTAGGTCCTGCCCTGGCAGAGCCCTCATGGCCCCTCCTGTTCTCCAGCTGCGACCTCTTGGAGCGACCAGACCCTGCTGGCCACTTGCCCCTTCGCGACAACCGCCTGAAGCTCACCTTTTCTCCCTTCCAAGTGCTGTCCCTGTTGCTCGTGCTCCAGCCTCCGCCACACTGAGTCCCTGGGGCTGGGGTTTTGTTTGTGGGAGGCTTTGGGGACTCCTAATTTCTGCTTTCCCAGCCTAAAACAGGGATCAGTCTCTTGCCGAATAAATTCCTGGATGAGGAACCTGCTGGTAACCGCTGCCCACTCCTCTTAGGGCCATCCTCAGGCTTGGGCTGGGATGTTTTCGGTGGGTAGGGGCAAGGTCCTAAGGTACCTATTTGTGCAGGGTCTGGGTTGCAGCCCCCACAAGAGACATTAGGGACCCTGAGTGACCAAAAGCCAATGAAGCGACCATGCGTGGAGAAGCTCCTCCCCCGTGCCTGCAGGCAGAGGGCCTAGGGCTGGGGAGCTGCCAGATGGCGGGTTCTGCCTGGCTCCTGCCAGGACGGGGGAGCAGCCCTGGACCCTGGAGAATCTGGAGTGGAGGAGCTGTGGCTCCCGGGCTGCCTGGGGCCAGACACCACCTCTGAGGGGCTGAGGGGCTGTCTCTGCAGAGGTAAGCTGTCCTCTGACAGCCAGAGCCTTGAGGACCAGCATGCAGGCTGTTTGCCTTGTGCAGAGGGTAGGTCTTTTGTTCCCAGGCCCAGACAGCAGGCCTTCCTACCTGGCCAGCTCAGGCCAAGAGGTGCCAAAAAGTTCACATTTATCAGTTTATTAAAAATACAGCATTTTTCACATGAGCTTGAAGGATGTGGAAGGTGGGGTGCCGTTAAAAACATCACAGTTGTGCCGGGAGCAGCCATCGGGCATTTGTGCCTTCTGAGAATTCAGATACTGCCCACTCCTGAGAATTCAGACAGACCCCCAGATACGGGGCAAGGCAACAAGAAGGGTGGGTACAAACGCGGAGACCCTCCTGCTAAGAGGCTGAGGGCCCCTCCAGTTCCAAGGATGGGGTGTCAGCCTTGGCCTTCCGGGGTCTGCGCGGGCCTGGGGGAAGAAGAGGTGAGATGGTCAGCTCAGACTCCGGGGTTGCCCTGACAGCCTCTCTGCCAGCTTCGTTCACAGGCTCCTAGGCCGCCATCCCATCCTCTCCTGTAGAGCTGGTTTCCGAGAATGCGGAGGAAAGCCTACCAGAGGCTGCCTGTCGTCCCTTCCTCCTCCCCTTCTTGGGGATTTTGGGAGCTGCTGGGTCCTGCCGGAAGCTGGTCGCCGCAGGCCGCTGGGTCGCAGTTCTCTCAGGAAGGTGTCTCTTTGCCGTTCGTGTCCTGGAAGGGGCCTTGCTTGGAGGTGGAGGGTCCTGGATGGAGGAGGCACGGGTCCCTAAGGGGCTCTGCAGAGGTTGGTTAGGACTCGCCACTCCCTGTACCCTCTTAGGGTAAGGCAGCCACCTGGGGGGCGAAGCCAGGGCAGGATACAAGGGAGGTGGCAGTGGAGCGGGCAGCCATACCTCCACTCTGTCCTCAGGACTCGGCTGCCTGGCCTTGGATTTCTTTTTACGGGACTTCCGCCCTGCAGGACACTGATGTTGGAGTTGGAGGGTCCTGTCCTGCCCCGGGGCGGGGACTCCCAGGGTTGCAGGGGATAGGGTGGAGAAGGGTGCTGTGACCCTTGCAGCTGAGACGTCCTTTCTGCTCCCCCATCCTATTACGTTAGGAGTAGCTTACCTTTGGGTGCCAAGGGTCCAGGATCCCCCTAAAGTGGGATGGGGATAACTCAGGAGTCGGCCTGCATTGGCGCAGGGGCAGTATTCAGTATTCCTGGGAGAGGCAGGACTGACACACACCCTTCCAGGCCAGTGTAGCTTCTGCCCTAGGAAGCCTCCCCCATGTCAGAGTCCACATCAGCAAAGCTGCCCTGCCCTTAGGCTACTTTCACTCGCTGCGACCCTGGGACGCAAGGGAGGAGAGGGGCATGACCCTCGGGAGCAGTGTGGTCCTCAGAGGGTCTAGACAGGCCCCGAGCATCTCCACCCCCGTTCTTGTGACCCCAGCTTTCATTTCCACCCATCAGCCTCATGGGATCTCTTTGCCCGTGTGAACAGGGCCCAACCTGGAACCAGATGGTGCGGCCATGCCGGTCCTGCAGGGAGCTCATGCCCGGCATGCCATAGCACCGCAGCCAGGCGCGAAAGGCGGCAAAGTCCTCCTCCCCGCTCTCTGACCCGTAGCCTTTGCCCCCTGTGGGACAAAGGAACAGGCAGAGATCAGAGGGCAGACTTGGGTTGGGAGGAGCGGGGAGGCTGGTTAGACCTGGCCCAGACCTCAGCTACACAAGCTGACGGACTGAGTCAGGGGCCAAACTCCCCCCTCCTCTGGTGATGCGACCTCAGCTGGCATCTTCCCACTCAGCCACAGCCTTCCCGTCCTGGAGGCGGGTTAAGGATCCTTGTCCTGGCCCTGTGCAGTAACTCACACCTTTAATCCCAACGCTTTGGGAAGCTGAGGTGGGAGGATCCCTTGAGGCCAGGAGTTCAATACCAGCCTGGGCAACATAGGAGACTGTGTCTCTACAATTTTTTTTTTTTTTTTTTAATTAGCCTGATGTGGTGGTGTGGGCCTGCAGGCTGAGCCACTTAGGGGCAGAGGTGGGAGGATCACTTGAGCCCAGTTTGAGGCCAGTCCAGGCAACATGGTGAGATCCTATCTCTACCAAAAATACGTGTGTGTGTGAATATATAAAAGAATCCTTGTCCTGTCTGTCTCATGGGTTGAGGAAACACTTTTTTTTTTTCTCAGACGGAGTTTTCACTCTTGTTGCCCAGGCTGGAGTGCAATGGCCCGATCTCAGCTCACTGCAACCTCTGCCTCCCGGGTACAAGCAATTCTACCTCAGCCTCCCAAGTAGCTGTGATTTCATGCATCCACCACTATGCCCGGCTAAGTTTTTGCATTTTTAGTAGAGACAGGGTTTTACCATGTTGGCCAGGCTGGTCTTGAACTCCTGACCACAGATGATCCCACCCACCTCAGCCTCCGAAAGTGCTGGGATTACAGGCATGAGCCACTGCGCCCAGCCAGGAAACATTATTGACAAGTGAGGCCTAGTCCACTGAGTGACAGCTAGGGCTACGAACTTCCAAGCCAGTGAATCAGGCCCAAAGAGGGACACCTGCCCCAGGGTTACACAGTGACTTGCTCCAGCAGAGGTCATTCCATCTGTGGCCTCACCCAGCCGGACCACTTCCTTGGGCACTGAGTGGCACAGCTCCAGCAGGTCGGGGTTCTGCAGCTTGGCCTTGATCTTCTGGCTCAGTGTCAGCTCCGGGCTCTGAGGAAGGGGCAGGGGCAGGACCTGTCAGTGGGGCCATGTAAAGCAGCTGACCTTCCCTCTGAGCTTGGCGGGACCTTGGGCCGTTCACCCCCCCCCCCAGCCCCGTTGTTGAGCTAAGCTGGGGACACCTGGCCCCACTCATCCGCTCGGCAGGCCGCGTGGACACCAGCATGTGACAGTACACGTGCTCCATCCCTCGGGCTCACCGGCCTTCGCTGCTGCAGGGCCTCCAGGACCGAGCGGGCCTTCTCAAAGGGCGGGATCTTCAGCCTGGAGTGGGGGCGGGGGAAGTCATGCTAGACAGTGGGGGACGTGGACACACCTGGCCCACCCGTCCCCATGCCCATGCCTGCTTGCTCACCGGTACAGGATCTCTGCCCGCAGATAGTTGCCAATGCCATTGAAGAACCTCTGGTCCAGGAGGGCCTCGCAGATGGGCCAGTCGAAGGCCTTGTCCGATAGGTTTCGTAGCACATTCTCCCTGGAGGGACACAGTCTGGGTGCATAAGACTCATCCCCACCCTCCATGGATGGAGAGAGGGGCTCAGAGAACCTGTTTCTGGGTGCAAGGGGAAGGAAGCTGGGAGTTCTAGAGTTTCCTCTGCTCCCTGCCTCGGTTTTCCTATCTGTTAAATGGGAACATATGGGATTAAAATTAACTGTGAAAGGACGGCTGGGTGAGGTGGCTCACGCCTGTAATCCCAACACTTTGGGAGTCCGAGGCTGGCAGATCACTTGAGGTCAGGAGAGCAGCCTGGCCAACGTGGGGAAACCCTGTCTCTACTAAAAATACAAAATTAGCTGGGCATGGTGGGAGCTGCCTGTAATCCCACCTACTTGGGAGGCTGAGTCAGGAGATCGCTGGAACCGGGGAGGCGGAGGTTGCAGTGAGCCAAGATTGCGCCATTGCACTCCAGCCTGGGCAACAGTGAGACTCCCATCTCAAAAAATAAAAACAAAAATAAAGTGTGAAAGGTGAAAAATACTGATCAAAAATAACGTGAGGCTGGTGTGGTGGCTCACACCTGTAATTCCAGCATTTTGGGAAGCTGAAGCAGGAGGATCCTTGGAGTCCAGGGGACCAGCCTAGGCCACAGGGAAGGCCACGTCTCTTCCAAAAATTTAACAAAGTAGCCATGGGCTGAGTGGTGTGCCCTGGTGGTCCCAGCTACTTAGGAGGTTGAGGTGGGAGAATCACCTGAGCCCTGGAGGTTAATAACCCAGTAATCTGTGATGGCGCCACTGCACTCCAGCCTGGGCAACAGAGCGAGACCCTGTCTCAAAAAAAAAAAAAAAGCAACACGCGGTCGTATATGAGGTTGTGTGTTTATCACTGCAGACTCCTCAGGACATGAGAACTGTCCAGGGGACCTCACCTGTCTGCAGTCTGGAGCTCAGACATGTGAGGGCTGGTGGTGGGTGAGACTATATGTGGGTTCACCATTGGTAGGGTCCACTCTTCTCAGGATGCTGGATGTTCTCTGGCTCTGTGCAGCAGATAAGTGAGGTACCAGTGAGGGCCCTAGAGCCCCCGCCGCACCTCCAAGGGCCGTGGGTCTCCTCCCCACCGTGAAGAGGGTGCGTATCTTTTTCTTTGCGAGAAAGGGTCATGGCAAGACAGACTGACTGATGGGTGTGAGGGGTTGGCCAGAACAGAGAGTCCTGGGGTGAAGGTACAAGGGTCGCCTGGGAGGTGCCCTGATCCCTGAGGGAAGCCAGTCACCACACACCCCAGCGGAAGCACTAAGGAAACAGCGCAAATGCTCACTGTTTGAGAGAAACATCAGAGCCAGCTGGCAGAGTTAAGTTGTGGCATGACTCCCCAGGAAGGCAGAGGTGGGAGGGATCCAGGACCAAAGACTGACGTTTCCCTGGGGATGTGCGTAGGGTCTGGGGAGGCCAGGAGTCAGCTGCCTTCTAAGGCGTAGGAGACATCCCCGAACCATCCCACAGGCATCCATGCCTCCCAAGGGCCGACTGACGGCACAGCCTCCCCCAGAAAGGGAGAAGTCCACTCGGGGCCTCTGCATCTCTTGCCAGTTCGAATGCTTTCCTTGGGCCGGCTCATTCTCATCAGCTAGGCCTCAGCTCACCTCCCTAGAGTGGCCACTGCCAGTACACCCCCACCCTCGCCAGAGTCATCCTCCACCTGTTGGGTTTTCCTCAGGCACGCATCTGCCCGTTCCTCATTCCCCTACTCTATCCGAACGTCAGTTCTGTGGGAGCAGGGACCACATTCATCTTGTTCACTGCTGTATCCCGAGCCCCTAGAACAAGGTCTGTCACGAAGCAAAGATTCATGCATGTTTCCTCTTCAGAGGAAAGCAGCTGTCAACACTGCGCCATCTGAGGTGACCTGCATTGCATCCCAGCTGGGGCTGTGACACCCTCCTGCAGGCAGGGAAGAGGCGCAGAGGAGACCACAGGACACAGACCAGTGGGCAGGCAGGATGTGGGAGACCACAAACCCAAGGTGGAAACACGTCCTGAGGCAGTCCCCTCCCCACCCCCTTGAAACAATCTGCTCAGCCTCTTACGTTAAAGCCCCTCCACCTTCTCAGCCTCCTGGGAGCCCTAAGAGGTAGTGTGGCATTGAGGGTGGGAGCCCCAGTTTCTATGACACTAACTGGCCAACTGTCCTCGGGGCAGTGCCAACCCATCCTCCTCTTGGCTTTCCTCTCTCTTCCCCCATCAGTTTTTTTTTTGAGACAGTTGTTGGAGTACAGAGGTGCTATCCCAGCTCACTACAACCTCCACCTCCCTGGCTCAAGCGATTCTCCTGCCTCAGCCTCCTAAGCAGCTGGGATTACAGGCAAATGCCGCCATGCCTGGCTAATTTTTGTGTTTTAGTAGACACAGGGTTTCAACCATGTTGCCCAGGCTGGTCTCGACCTTCTGATCTTAAGTGATCCACCCGCCTTAGCCTCCCAAAGTGCTGGGATTACAGATGTGAGCCGCCACACCTAGTCCCCAGTTAGTTTTGTTTCCTTATCCACTGGCTCAGGGAGCTGACCCAGGACAGGGACACTGTCTTGATCTGCAGATAAGGGGACTGAGGCCCAGAAGCGGCAGACACTCGGCCTTCGTTGGCCAACAAGGCACTAACAGAGCCAGGTGTGGAGCCCGTGACTACGCTCATCACACCTGGTGCTGGCCCTACCTGAACTGCTCGTACTCCTGCAAGACGCAGGGCCCGCGGCCCGGCTGCCAGTTGCCTCCAAGATCCCAGTGACCGAACCGGCGGAATGTCCACGAAACATAGGGCGAGCTGGGGGCCGGGCGGAGCCGTGTAAAAGCGCAGGTGGGCGTGGCGTGGCAGCTCCTCCCGGGGAACCAGCTGGAAGGAGCCGGACATGCCGAAGCGGAAGACCAGGGCCAGCGGCTCCTGGGGGGGCTGGGCCCCAGGCAGCGGGCTGAGAGTCAGGCGCAGCTCCTTGCCGCGGGCAGAAGCCGAGATGCGGTAGGCGCTGCTCTCAAAGGGCACCTCAGGGTTGCGGCTGACGGAGGACTTCTCCACGCAGCCTCCGAACACCAGCACCCTGCAGGCCTCGTTCACAAACTGGCTGGCCAGGTGCACCTCCGGGCCCTCGGGCATCCTGAGCGAGGGTGGCGGAGCCCTGTCGGGGAGGAAGGCAGCAGGATGAGCCCGGGTGGACCTTGTAAGGTAGCGGCTGTCAGCCCCATTTTTAGAGAACTCGGAGGGTCGGAGGGGCACGCGGCTGGCGGGGAAGTGACGGGCCTGGCCACCGCCCCCAGTCCCCTCCCAGGACAAGAGCCTGGAAAGCCCAGGGGCCTGGAGCTGGGCCACTAACCGCTTCCTTCCGTGAGCTTTCACCGCGTTTAGAGGAAAGTTCGAACACGTGCGTGGCCGCGGCTCCCGCCCCTCTGCCTCCCGGCTCCCCTCACTCACTGGCTCTTCTCTCCGCCTTGGCCCCTACTGTCCCTCTGTCCCGGACACTTAAGGGAGCCTCCCCTCCGCACATGCTGTCGCTTTCTCCAGGCCCTCCCACCCTCTGAAAGGGTCTTAGGGTCTTAGGGTCGCGTGGCCGCCTCTCCCTGGGCCCCCATCCCACCAAGTACGCGCCCGATCTGTCGGCGCACGACAGAGGGAAAGAGAGCAGCCCGGCCTGGTGCGGGGGAGCCGCGGGATCCGAGGCTCCGCCGCAGCGAGCCCCGGGCCTGCCCCATGGGCCAGACACCCCCACGGCCACCCCCGGGCCAGTGCAGGGACCAGGACAAAGCGGGGCTGCCACCGTGCGCTGGAGCCGCCCCCACGGCTCCGCAGGAGGAGAGCGGGCACCAGGAAGGGCTCCCCGAGCTCTGGCCCCGGGCCCCGGGCCCCGGGCCCGGGGGAGGTTAAGGGCCCGCAGCAGCGCCTGGGGCCTGGGGTGGGGGTACCCACTCCTCACCTTCGCCCTCCCCGCTTTGCCTCTGTCGCCGGGCGGTTCCAGATGGGACACGAAGGTGTACCTCGAGTGGAAGGGGGCACTTAGCGACGGGAAACGCCTGTACCTCGCTGTCTCCGCACCTGGGCGCCGACGCGGGCCTGGGGACCGCAGGGCTTGTTTTGAGGGAGAACCTAAGGCTCCAGATTCCTAGTGTTGGGGAGGAGCCGCGCTCTAGGGCCCGCCCTCCCCATGCTCCCGCTGAGACCCTGTCCTCGGTTAATCCTGGCTCCTCTTCTCCTCAGGGACCTCCAAAGTCCATCCTCTCCTTTGCCCAACAGCGCACCCCCGCACCTCGATCCTGCACGCCCCCACCCCCGGAACGGCACTCAGTTCTGCTCCCGCCACCGCAGCCACTAAAGGGTTAACGGCAGGAGAGGAGGCGCCCGGGAGTGCGCTGGGAACGCTGGGAAGTGTAGTCCCTCAGGGAGGCGGTAGCAGCTCTTGGAGGTGTTTCCCGAGCTTGGGGGCTGAAGGCTGTGGGGCAGGCTTCGGGGCAGTTACCTGGCTGGGAGGTGGCGGAGAAACCTGGCTTCCCACTGCCCGGCGCCAGCAGATGCGGGAGCAGGTCTGAGGCCCCGGTCGTCCCTGTCTGCGGTTGGGGGAAGTCACCCTGCTAGCCTGGGACAGGGTCGGCACCCCCAGCAGGAAACAGCAGCGAGGAGCCAGAACGGAGTCGCCTGCAGCTGCGCGCAGGGTGTGCACAGGTGCGCGGTACGCGCAGGCCCTAGGGACCCCTTGGAGACCCTAAGCACCAACGCACAGTTAGACCCAACTCATAAACAAACATCGTCACTGCCTGCCGGGTCGGAAGGGCAGCCAAGCAACAACAAAAAAGGCGGGGAGGTAGATGGGGAGAGTCTGAAATCAAGAGGGAGGAAACACGAGAGAGACTCGGGTGGAAGGAACAGCCAGTGCAAAGGTCCTGAGGGGAGAAAGACATTGGCCACTGAAAGAACTCCAAGTCGTATGTGGCTGGAGTACCGTGGGCAGTGCCAGGAGGTGGAGACAGAGAAGCAAACAGGGCCCCAATCAGGTCCGGCTGGGCCTCGGGAGGGCCTCTCTGTGGAGTCTGCACTTCATTCTAAGTGTGTGCCTGGCCCATCGCCACAATTTCCCCTCCTTCACACTTCCCTGCTTGCCTTCATCTCCTTATTAGGCATACTAAAAATTATGTGGCTTTGTAAGAAATTGGTTTTTAGAGATGCACGTTAGTACATGTTAGACATGTCATGACTTGTCTAATTTACTTGAAAATACTTCTGCCAAAATAAATGGAGTTAACAATAACTTGGTATTAGTTGACAATACCTAAGATAGTAGATATTAGTCAACAGTAACTTCTTTTTTGTCTATGTCACCCAGGCTGGAGTGCAGTGGCACAATCTTGGCTCACTGCAAGCAACCTCCACTTCCTGGGTTCAAATGATTCTCCTGCCTCAGCCTCCTGAGTAGCTGGGATTACAGGCATGTGCCACCACGCCAGCTAATTTTTGTATTTTTAGTAGAGATGGTTTTGCCACATTAGTCAGGCCAGTCTTGGACTCCTGACCTCAAGTGGAGTATGTCTTTTTAGTAATTTTAAATCTAGATGGAACTACCTTCCCCTCTCCCACCCACTTCATCCTACCTTTTTTTTCCGTCTTCATGATACGTTTCTGAGGAGTCTCAGCCAGTTGTCCTTTGACATAGATGCTGCATCACATTCTGAATTTATCTGTATCCTCAGGGCGTCACTGCTACTGTCACAGATTGAACCTCTGTGGTTCATCCTGCATGCTGGGAATTAGATCTAAAGGCCTAATTATATATGAATTCAGGGATACTTCCTAAGTGCTGCTCCATACTGTTTTGTTTTGTTTTTTGAGATAAAGAGTCTCGCTCCGTCACTCAGACCAGAGTGTAATGGTGCAATCTCGGCTCACTGCAACCTCTGTCTCCTAGGTTTAAGCGATTCTCCTACCTCAGCCTCCCAAGTAGCTGGGATGACAGACATGCACCACCACTCCCAGCTAATCTTTGTATTTTTAGTAGAGACAGGGTTTCTCCATGTTGTCCAGACTGGTCTCCAACTCCTGACCTCAGGTGATCCACCTGCCTTGGCCTCCCAAAGTGCTGGGATTACAGAGGTGAGCCACTGTGCCTGGCCACTGCTTCGAACTTTCAAGTGCTTCGTATCAGGAGGCACCCAATTTCCCGTTGTCCCACTTTAGTGGGGGCTGAAATTGGTAAGACTGGGGCTGTGGCAGCTGGACCTCCGCATTAGAAAATGTATGCTTCGGCCGGGCGCGGTGGCTCAAGCCTGTAATCCCAGCACTTTGGGAGGCCGAGGCGGGTGGATCACAAGGTCAAGAGATCGAGACCATCCTGGTCAACATGGTGAAACCCCGTCTCTACTAAAAATACTAAAAATTAGCTGGGCATGGTGGCACGTGCCTGTAATCCCAGCCACTCAGGAGGCTGAGGCAGGAGAATTGCCTGAACCCGGGAGGCGGAGGTTGCGGTGAGCCGAGATCGTGCCATTGCACTCCAGCCTGGGTAACAAGAGCGAAACTCCGTCTCAAAAAAAAAAAGAAAATGTATGCTTCATGCCTTGTGACCACCAAATAATCTATGGAGCAATTTGTTGTTCTCTTGTTTAAATCAAGGTATAATTTACATACAGTAAAATTTACCCCTTTCTGACTGCAATATTTGACAAATACATAAGTCGTGTAACTGCCGCCACAATCAAGATGTAACGCACATTGCAGCATTGTTCCCAAGATGTGGAAACAACCTCAATGTCCATCAACAGGTAAATAGATGTTTTTAATGTGCCTATTTTATACAGGGCAGGCATGGTGGCTCATGCATGTAATCTAGCACTTTGGGAGGCCAACAAGGGAGGATTGCTTGAGCCTACGAGTTCAAGACCAGCCTGGGCAACATAGGGACACTCCATGTCTATATAAAAAAAGAATGAGCATAGTGGAATGCATCTGTAGTTCCAGCTACTCCAGAGGCTGTGGCTGGAGGATCTCCTGAGCCTGGGAGTAGGAGGTGACAGTGAGCTGTGATCATGCCACTGCACTCTATCTAGATGACAGAGTGAGACCTCATCCCCATCCCTGCCCACCCCTAACCCCAAAATGTGGTATACAATGGAATATTATCCAGCCTTAAAAAAAGAAATACTGGCTGGGCATCATGGCTCACACCTGTAATCCCAGCACTTTGGGAGGCAGGAGGATCATGAGGTCAGGTGTTCAAGACCGTCCTGACCAATGTGGTGAAACTCTGTCTCTACTAAAAATACAAAAATTAGCTGGGCTTCATGGTGTGTGCCTGTAATCCCAGCTACTAGGGAGGCTGAGGTAGGAGAATCACTTCAACCTGGGAGGCATAGGTTGTAGTGACCCGAGATCGTACCACTGCCCTCCAGTCTGGGCGACAGAGCAAGACTCTATCTCAACCAAAAAAAAAAAAAAAAAAAAAAAAGGAAATACTGCCACATGCAACAACATGGGTAACCTCAAAGACAATGCATTAAATAAGTTGGTCACAGAAGGATAAATACTTCATTGTTCCACTTTTATGAGGTATCTAAATAGTCAAACACATAGAAGCAACAAGTAGAATGGTGGTTGCCAGGAACTGGGAAGGAGGAGGAAATGGGTAGTTGCTATTCAACGAATATAAAGTTTTGGGTTTTTGGCCGGGCACACTGGCTCACGCTTATAATCCCAGCACTTCAGGAGGCCGAGGCAGGTGAATCACCTGAGGCCAGGAGTTCAAGACCAGCCTGGCCAACAATGGTAAAACCCAGTCTTTACTAAGAATACAAAAATTAGCTTTGAGATCCTGTCTCAAAAGAAAATAAAGTTTTCGGTTTTTGTTGTTGTTGTTGAGACAGGTTTTACTCTGTTGCTCAGGTTGAAGTGCAGTGGCGCAATCTCGGCTCACTGCAGCCTTGACTTCCCAGTAGCTGGGATTACACGTGGGGGCCACCATGCCTAATTTTTTGTTTTCAGTAGAGATGGGGTTTTGTCATGTTGCCAAGACTGGTCTCCAACTCCTTTCTCCTACAGCCTTTGCTAACCACCATTCTACTAGCGACTTCTATGAATTCAACTTTTTTGCGGGGGGACAGGGTCTCATTCTGTCACCCAGGTTGGAGTACGATGGCACTATCATAGTTCACTGCAGCCTTTACCTCCCTGGCTCAAGCAACCCTCCCACCTCAGCCTCCCAAGTAGCTGGAACTACTGGCATATGCCACCATACCTGGCTAATTTTTTAAATTTTTGGTAGAGACAGGTTCACCATGTTGACCAGCCTGGTCTTGAACTCCTGGGCTCAACTAATCTTCCCACCTTGGCTTCCCAAAGTGCTGAGATTACAGGTATGAGCCACTGCCCCAGGCCTTTTTTTTTTTCAATTCCAGGCGTAAGTGAGGTGATGTGGTATTTCTCTCTCTGTGCCTGGCTTATTTCACTCAGCATCGTGTCATCTAGGTTCATCCATGTCACAAATGACAGAACCTTCTGCTTTTTAAAGGCTGAATAGTATTCCACTGTGTATATATACTTTTTTTTTTTTTTTTTTTTGAGACATGGTCTCAGCTCTGTTACCCAGGCTGGAGTGCAGAGACATGATTACAGCTCACTGCAGCCTCAAACTCCTGGGCTTGATTGGTCCTCCTGCCTCAGCCTCCTGAGTGCCGAGACTACAGGCATGCACCACCATGCCTAGCTAATATTTTATTTTTATTTTTTGTAAAGACCGAGTCTCCCTATGTGGCTCAGGCTGGCTGCAAAGTCTAAAGCAGTCTTCCCACCTCAGCCTCTCAAAGTGCTGGGATTACAGGCATGAACTACTGCACCTGGCCTTTAGTTATTATTTCTTTGAATATTTCTTTCATTCTACTCTCTTCCCTCTTACCTGCTGGGACTCTGAAATCATGAGTGTTAATCTTTTGTATATCCTACAGATCTGTGGTGATCAGTTTTGTGTCACCTTGACTGGGCCGTGGGGTCCATATTTCAGAAATTTCTCTGTTGTGTGGAGTCTCACGTCCTGAAGATCCCAGCCAGGCTAGGCTGTCTTGTTCTCCATTGCTCAGTCTTTGTTTGTTTTACATGTAACATCCAGGTTTGTTAGCTGTACTTAGGGAGAGGAATAGGGAAAAGACCTACTTCATTTTCCCAGAAGCAGAAGTCAGGAATGGAGTCAGTACTTACCTCTTTCAAAACTGTCCCATCTTTGGCCAGGGGAGCAAACCATTATTCTGATAGGTTCCTTACACAAGATACCACAGGCAAGTCCTTCTTATACCCTGTGTGCCAACCTTGGCATTGGCCTTTTCTACAAGGAGGCCTGGCTGGCCTGGGCCACTCCTGGGATCCCATCTGCCTTAGTCTTCTCTAGCTGCTGTAACAATACCGCAGAATGGTGGCTTACAGCACAGCTTTCTTTCTCGCAGTTCTGGAGGCTGGGCAGTTCAAGATCAAGG